ATTTTTTTAATAAGGCTGCATTTTTTTAAAAAATATAATTTGTTTTTAAAAATCAGTAAATTTATATAAAAAAACTAGAATATATGCATATTTTCATATTTTTTTTTTCAAATGAATATATGCATATATTCATTTTAGGTGCATATATTCATATTTTTTTTTTCAAATGAATATATGCATATTTCTTATACTATAATATTCGTAGGTAATCATAAAACATCACATTTTTACTAATCATTCTATATACATAGTAGTAGTAGTATTTTTTTTTTTTAAAATACAAAATAAAATATAAAAAATAAAAAATGCTACGAAGATTCACAATGTTATCATTTCGTCATATCAAGATTTTCATATTTTCTTCAATTTATCACTTTTCACCTTTTCAATATTTTTTACAAATTTTTCAAAATCTAGAAGAAATTAAAAAAAAATTATTAGTGCAAGAACTCTCACAAAAATGCACATGCATATATCAGATAAGATTTACATGTGATTCATATGTGAATTATATGTGATTTACATGTGAATCACATGTAATCCATATGTGAGTTACATGTTATTTATATGTGAATCACATGTAATTCTTATGTGATTCACTTGTGATGTACATGTGAATCACATGTAATTCATATGTGAATCACTTGTGATTCATATGTAACTCATATGGGATTCACTTGTGATTTACATGTGATTTTATATGTGCATTACATGTGATTTTATATGTGCATTATATGTGATTCATATGTGAATCACTTGTGATTTATATGTGCATCACTTGTGATTTATATATATGATTCACGTGTGATTTATATGTGAATCACTTGTGATTTAAATGTGAATCACTTGTAATTCATATGTGATTCACTTATGATTTATATGTGAATCACATGTGATCAATATGTGAACTACAAGTGATTTTTTTTCTATAACTATATGAGATTTGCTGAATTCCAAAACACAAATTAAAAAATAGAATACTAAAGAAGCAGATGGTGATTATTAGGGCACTATATAATTAGTTTATATACAAAAAATAATATAAATATTAGAATGTTTGTAATGGTTCTTTATATCCAAATTATTAGTTGAAAAACCAAAAAAAATATTAAAGTACCCAAAATATTCAAGAACCTCAGCAACCTGATCAGCTAAGTCATCAACAGCTAACAATGGATCATTATATGACATTGCTGCAACTCCCAACTACAATAGCTCTTAAAGATGTATAAAATAAGATAGCAATACTAATTGTTTTACTATTGAATTGTTTATATATTTAAAAAAGAATAATAAAAAATAAAAATGAAGTTTTGATTGCTGACCTCATGGTCGGGAGGGATAATATGGTAAATACATAAATTATGAATCAGTAAAGAAAATGCTCCAAGGCTTAAGAAAAGACCTTGGAAACATGACATATGTGTTCAAACATGCAAACAAATAAGCAAGATTTCATTTATTTTCAACAAATTTTGTTGATTAACGAATGAAAAACAGAATCACTTATGATTTAAAGCAAAATCAGGATATGTAATTAGAACTGGCTTCTCTTGATCTCCATATATGGCAACAAAAACAAATCCACTGGAAGTTTTTACAAGGTGTTCCTAGAAATGAAATTATTAATTTGTGTAACAATGAGAACATGAATTTAAGATACATATTCAATTCAAATTAGTACACAATGAATAACATGAATCCCCTTTCAAAGAAAACGATGGATTCATGGAACCACAGATTACCTCAAATGGTTTAGGACAACATAGTAGTTGAGTTTCTCCATTGGTGTAATACCTCAATATGCCGCAACCATAACCATTTCAAAAATTTATAGGATATCTCTTTTTTACTAAGGTTCAATGATTTAGGATCCTTTTCTTTTAACTCAATCAATCCAGATAGCTATTATGACTTAATCTTAATCTGGACACAATGTATTAATAAGTTAAATAAAAGAACTAGGATTAATGTATCAAAACACTAACATTTAACATATTTGATGAATATCATGAAGATTTATCCAGTCATACAGCACTATAAAAAAACAATAACTCAAATTTCAGCCACTTTAGGTAGAATGATATAGTTAGTACCTATGTGATGACTTTATTAGCAACGAGTTCATCGACATTTCTGATGTTGACATGGACAGAAACCTAAATTGGAATTGGTATCATTCATGAAGTTAAAGTGAACTTAACATGTGATATTTCTCATTGAGGCATTTCATCGAACATGTTGAGTGCAGACAAATATCTATATTTTTCAATAGCACGCACATGTGTCTATTTTATACCTACAATACACACAAGGATTTAACTCTTTATAAAAACATATTGACTAAACAGGGTTAACTAAATGATTGGGCAAAAAAAAATTCATAAAGGTCAAACAAAGGTCAGGAGTCAACAATAGAAATAAATGATACCTAAATTTTGATCGACAGGGGATCATCTTCTTCGATCAGGTATTCAATCCACAGTGGAGGCCGAGATGAAGTCGGTGATTACAGTGTACTCTGGGGAACGAATTGATGGAGGATAAAACAATTCAAAATCAAAGCATCTTCATTGGAGTTTTTTTTATATGAAGAACGTGAGATCAACGAGTTCAGCAACAATGAAACTTCGATCATTGGGGGATTTCAGATTTCATATAGATTTGGCGTAAATCGGTGGCATAGCGATTGTGTAGGGAGAGATTCAACGGAAGGAGGCAGACGATGGACTGTGAGAGAGAGAGAGCGCTTTGACTTTCACCTTCCTCGATTCAGTGAATAAGAGAGATAGTAGACGGAGGAGACCATTGATAAATCGGACATTGGTTCTGGATCGGGGAACGAACGTCGATGAAGCTATGAGAGAAATAGGGACGAAGAGACGATCAGGGGATTTGTGAGAGAAAGAAGGCATCGATTGATTTGGGGGGAATGGTTTTCAGTACCATAAATGCCCTTAGATTAATTTAAGTATCATACCCTCGTGTTTAATTCTTTTCAAATATTTACAACAATGCCACAAAACATCTTAACCTTCTATTATTTTAATCTAACGGTCCTCGTTTGGTTATAGGGTTCTCGGGAAAATATGAGTTCTCAAATGATCATTGCTCTCTCTCTCTCTCTCTCTCTCTATATATATATATATATATATATATATATATATATATATATATATATATATATATATAACATTATTTGATTATGTTTTTGATTTAATATACTAACCGTAAGTATTAATTATTTACTGTGTAATTGTATTTGCATTCATATTATAAATTTAGGATATTTCTTTACATATATATAACATTATTTGTGTATAATTTATAGTATCGTGACTCTTACAAGTCGAGTTACGAGTCGAGTCATTAGTCAAAATTTAGGATTTCGAGTCACAAGTCGAATCATGAGTTGACAACTATGGGTGTGTGTATAATTTAGCAATTTTGCAATTTTAGAATTACCCACTTAACCTTTTGTAATTTCAAACGAATTACCCACGGAACGTTCTCTACATATGAAGTAAGAAAGCAATCCCATACAAAGAGATAATTAGTAATAGATAAAGAGATGAGAACAAACCATAAACTAAGAATCCAAAACTAACATATATAATTATAATCTAAGTAACTCTGGTATGTGTTTAGATGTGCTTTTGTGTGTAGTAGATATAAAATTGAGACGACACGATGCTCAATAAATGCCCGAAATCGTTGATATTGTTAGCGTCACAAACATCTACAAAAAACTAAATGAAATCAACAAAGCCACTAACAAATTATCAATAAACTAACTTACCCTTTACAAAGTCTTTCTTCACACCAACTATCGAAACATCCAAATTTAATAGAAGATCTAAGTGATTTTATTAATCTCTTTCAAATATATGTATGTAGGTTGGTCGTGATAGTGTGGTGGCGAGTTGCAAGTTGCAACTGAGATAAAGAACAGGCGGTGGGTTCATGATGGGGGTTTTCTGTGTTTATAGAAGATGAGAGAGGGTATGATCTTCTGTGTTAAATGCATATTCAATGCCATATCAAGAACTATTTTTGAGACCTATACTAAGAACTGTTCTTGTGATGTGCTGTTATAATCAGTTTAAAAAATGATATAGTAATGAAGGCCGATAACTCAGAAACTGGAAACAGAGAGATAGTGAACAATGGAATAATCTTGAAATCGACGGCGATTGAGGTGTATATAAAGTCAGCAGATGCGATTCAAATTTGAAACAAGATCATTCCTGATTTATTGGGATTACTTTGCTAATCTTTGATTTTGATTGCAGATTTCATGGGACTGAACATAATCTAAGGAATCTAAGTATAGATAGAGGTGTAAGATATTCAAGCGGGAAAACAAAACATTAATTAAGTTAATAACATAATGCCATATGTCCCTAAAAACTATTATTTTATTATAACTAGGTGTAAAACCCGTGTATTAGACGGGTTGATTAAAAAAAATATATCAGTATATTTTAATATATCTTATATATCTTTTAAGATTCTTTGCATTTATTATCACATTAAATGTATTTAATACTTTACATATATAAATTTAGTATTATGTGGCATATTAATTGATTTAATTCAAAAAAACCACAAAATGACATGTGGATTTAAATTTAATCAAAAGATTTACAAAATTACATGTGGTAAATTTAATGAGAAGATGAAATTTGGCAAAATGATCTTCATTTATTAGGATAGATAGGAATATTCAAAAAAGGTATAATGTAAGTATTCTACATTATAAAAATGACTAATATGAAACTGCAAATGATATTTATGTAAATTGGTGGGACAATTCAATTTCTTTGAATAAGAAAAAGGAGGGCGAACATTGCAATTGCAAAAAGCTATGGACCCTCCCTATTATAGTGGATGCTTTCTCTAAAGTGAGTTCCAGCACATATTTACATTATATTCAGTCTTCCTGTTTGCTTCTTCTCTGCAATTTATCATCCCTTGAAACAAAAACCCTCTACGAAGAAATGAATCTTTCCTTTCTCCAACTTCCAATGGCTGAAATTGTTGTTAGCGCCGTCATCACCATACTGTGTGAGAAGCTGATCTCTGGTGACCTGATGAAGCTCGCTCGAACTAAAGGAATCGATTCTCAGCTGCACAAATTGGAGAAAACATTGCCCCTGATGAAAGCTGTGCTCGCTGATGCAAACCAGAAGCATATAACAGAGAGAGCTGTTCAATTGTGGTTGAATGATCTCCAGGATTTGGCTTACGACATTGACGATATAGTAGATGATTTGGCCACAGAAGCTCTGCGACGCAGTGTGAATCAAGAAGCTCTTTCCATCATCCCAAGTTGTTGTACTACGTTCACTCCTGGAAACATTATGTATGGTCTGAAGATGAGATCACTGCAAAATTGCGTGATCTTGTTGACCGGAAAAATGATCTGGGTTTGAATGTGAGCTTTGAAAGGTTAAATATGACAGAGAGACGTTTGGAGCAAACATCACTAGTTGATGAGTCTAAAATCATTGGTCGGGAAGGGGAGAAAGAAGCATTGTTGAAGAAGTTGTTGGGAAAGGAAGAATGTGATGAAAATGTGAGCATAGTGTCGATAGTTGGTATGGGTGGAATAGGCAAAACCACTCTTGCCAAACTTTTATTCAACGAAGAGAAAGTGAAGGATCACTTTGAACTCAGGGCATGGGTTTATGCTTCTGAAGAGTTGGATGTATTTAACATCAGCAAGGCTATTTTTGAAGTTGTAGGTGGGGATGCCAAAAGGTTGTCTAATCTTGATTTGCTTCATGTGGCCCTCAAATAAAAACTTTTAAAGAAGAGGTTCCTACTTGTTCTAGATGATGTCTGGAACGAAGACTACAATAAGTGGGAACTCCTCCAGAGCCCTCTCCTTGTCGGGGCACCTGGAAGCAGAGTTCTTGTCACAACCAGGAGCACCAAGGTTGCATCGGTGATGGACTCAGAAGAAGCTTTTGATCTGGAGGTTTTGTCAAATGAGGATGCTCTATCATTATTTGCTAAACACGCGTTAGGTGAGAAAAACTTTGACAAACATCCGACACTTAAGTTGCTGGGGGAAGGTATAGTGAAGAAATGTGGTAGACTGCCTTTGGCTTTGAAAACACTTGGGAGGGTCTTGAAGGGAAATAGGAATGTTGATGAATGGGAGAAGTTGTTGAACACTGAGATATGGAATATAAATGATGGAAGTGAGATTCTTCCAGTTCTAAGACTAAGCTATTATCATCTCCCTTCATATTTGAAGCTATTGTTTGCATATTGCTCCTTATTTCCTAAGGACTATGAGTTTCAGAAGAACGATTTAATCCTACTGTGGATGGCAGAAGGATTTTTTTCCCAATCAGATGACAACAAATCAATGGAGAGCTTGGGTAGTCAGTATTTTGAAGAGCTCAAGTTACGGTCGTTTTTTCAACAATCAACGCATGATCAATTAGGATATACAATGCATGACCTTGTAAATGACTTGGCCACAAGTTGTTTTATAGATCGGATGGGATGAACATATCCAAAAGGAATGAAAATTTTGAGAAGTTCGGTTACATTTCACTTGTAGCTCCAAAATGGAAATCATACATAAAGCTTAAGGAATTACAAAGAGCGAAGCGCTTGCAAACGTTCTTGCCATCATCAAGTTCTCAAATCGACAGTGTTGTAGTTAAATCGCTTCTCGAACTACAGTTCCTAAGGGTACTAAGGCTAAGTGGACCGGGAATCACACAAGTACCACAATCTATTGGCAGTCTCAAGCATCTACGGTATCTTAAATTTTCTTTTACTGATATCAGATGTTTGCCCGAACAAGTTAGTGACCTTTATAATCTACAAAGCTTATTGATTCGTGGTTGTCATGAGTTATCGGACTTACCAAAAAGTTTTGCAAAGTTGATAAACCTTCGACATCTTGACATAGATGATACTCCAAGTCTGAACAAGATGCCCTTAGGGATTGGTGGTTTGACAAATCTACAAACTCTATCCAAGGTTATAGTTGAAGAAGCTAACGGGTTCAAAATAACCGATCTTAAGGGCCTATCGGATCTTCAAGGTGAACTTTCCATTATCGGGCTCGACAAATTGATAGATCCAATACAAGCAAAGAATGCCAACTTAGATCAAAAGAAGGGTCTTGAAGTTTTGGAGATGAGATGGAGTAATGTGTTTGATGATTCTCGGAATGAGATGATTGAATATGAAGTACTCAAAGAACTAATACCTCATCCTAAGTTAAAAGTCCTCAAGATTTCGAATAACAAGGGAACACAATTTCCTAGTTGGGTGGGTGATCCCACCTTTGATCAGTTAACAGAGCTTATGTTACGGGGATGTAAAAGTACACACTTACCAACACTTGGAAATCTACGGTCTCTAAAGAAACTGGTGATCAGTTCTTGTCATTTAATAACATCATTCTCTCTTTCCGAGAAGATTATGGGTGATAGTGATTGTGGTAACTTACAACCAAAACTCATTCCAGCAAATGATTTCGGTTTTCTCCCGATGCCGCTCGCCTAATATCTCTTCAGATCAGTTATTGCAAGAATTTGAAGTCTTTTCCTTTTCAAAGTCTCACATCTTTGGAAAAGTTGTTGATACTTGAGTGTCCAAGTATGGACTACTCCTTTCCTTGTGGGATGTGGCCTCATAATTTAAGAAGTCTAACAATAGGAGGTTTAAATAAGCCGATGTCAGAGTGGGGCCCCCAAAATTTTCCAACCTCACTGGTTGAGCTACACTTATATGGAAAAAATTCAGGAGTGACTTCATTTGCAGTGGCAGCCGATACTACTACTCCATCATCATCGTCATCATCTTTTCTTCTTCCACCATCTCTGGTTTCTCTAAGGCTTGATTATTTTATGGATGTGGAATCATTTTCAGAGGTCTTAAGACACCTCCCCTGCCTTAACAAACTTGATATTCATTCATGCCCGAAGATTAGTGATCTTAAGACAACTTCCGGCCGATCAAAATTGATGATAAGCGTGTCGCATTGGTAAGAATTCTGAGCCAACTCTTTTAGATGAGCACAGCCCAATAGGCCAATTAATATGAAATTTTATCAAAGGTGACACAAGACACGTGTAGGGGAGTGATCAATGTAGTTAGTTATTTTGTTCTGAGAATCGGTGGGGAAGGATGGTTTTTCTTTTTTTGATTTCTTTTTCTCTTTATTACTTATTGAATTCAGTTTCTGTATTTTTTTGGCTTTTTAATAAGTATCCCAACGTATTAGCAACATCCTTTTTGAGACTTATTTGTTTTGTTTGTTAATAAGATTATTTTAAACATTTCACTAATAGTCAAAACTAGTACCAAAAGAAGAAAAAAACTACAAGTGCGGTAGTTGAATAGCTTTTCGGTTTTCATACAACTTTTAAAAGAGTTGAAAGAATCTATGTATAAAGCTATTTTATCTGCACTGTTTTATATCATCTTTGAGTTTTCTTTTTCTGTGTCATGTTTTTGTTTTCATTGACGTTTGCTTCGAGTAAACCTTATCCATTGAATAATTACTAGAAAAATATATTAAGTTACGTACAATTTGGTCTTCAATCCAGAAACTTTGAAACTTTAGGTCACACCCTATTGTCCATAACATTGATTTTGATAAGTTTTCTACAAATTTGATAACATGTTAATCCCTTTAATTTGTAATATTTTTTTGTATCGATTTCGAAGTAAGAATTAGTACATTTAACATCAAAACTTTTTCCAGTTCTTTGTTTCACATGAGTAATTGTGTTTTAATGTGTTTATCCTTTTCATATTGTCTTGGGGTCATATTTTAGTATAATTTAAGGGCGTAACACAAGTAATAGAAGAAAGGGGGCCGAGCTACGGACTAATAATTTTATTTTATTTCAATCAAGCAAACTCTAAGTAATAAATGAATCCTACATAAATAATACAGTCTCCGTCTCAAAATTATAGTTTATCTTTCCTTTTTGGTTTGTCTTAAAATAATAGTCCATTTCTAAAAATAAATAACATTTTTACCAAAATATCCTCTTATTATTATCTAAGTATTTAAAGCAACATTAAATACAAAGTAATGACAAAACTATCATTTTATTGTATAAAGTCAATGGTAATTAATGTTTCCTTAATCTGTGTGTTTTTTGTCTGTGGACAATATTTTATTAGTACATAAGAAATATTAAATACAGTTGTTTGTTTTAAAATTGATATTGTAATAACAAAGTTATAACTATATATTTTGTATGTAACTTTAAATCCTAATTAACCAAAGACCTTTATATTTAACAACATATATAAAGATAAAACAAAATTAAAAACAACATTTTAGTTGTACAACATATATAAAGATAAAACAAAATTAAAAACAACATTTTAGTTGTACCGTTGAGCCATTCGTTAGTAAGTAAATTACACGGATGGTCCCTGTAGTTTGGGTTAAATTACGTGTTTAGTCCCTAATTTTTATTTTTAACTCGGATCATCTTTAAATTTTAATTTTATTGCGTGTTGGTCCCTGATCAACTTAAAACGACCAATCTGTCTTTATTTATTATTTTAATTTTTTTTTGTTTGTTATTAATTTATTAAAATATTTTTTTAATAGTTGTGGTCCCATATACCCACCGATTCCTTCATACTTCCCATGAACCATCGACCTCCTTACCCTCTTTTTCCCTGGTATCTTATTCTTTCTTTCAAATCAATTTCAAGAAACTCCACCATTAATGGACTTGAAAGTTCTATATCCTCCCCACCACACCTGCTACTGGTAAACAGAGCCAAACCCCCACCTTTTCCTATCTTGATCCCATATCTTTCCACTCCATTATCATCTAGTCACTAGCAGTGAGCCCTCCTGTGAAACCTATGTCTGTCGCTATAACCGCCTTGCTAAAGTTGCCAAGGAATGATAGAACCCACTCCCCTATGAGCCCCTTCACAAGCGTCCTCATTCTTTTTCGTTCGATTTAGGTTTTCTCTAAGTTCGAATCTGGGTGTTTATCTAAAAAATGGTGACCTGAAGAACAAACCAAATCTTTCGGAAGCTTTTGTAAATGCAAAAACATGTATAAATGATACAAAAAAACACTATTTTACACATAAATTCGATTTTGACACCGTGTTATTTTTTGTGTTAATTTTGACACCGTGTTTTCCAATTTGTTACAATTCTGACCACTTGACCAGTTAACCAGGTTACATGCTGACGTGGCATGATGACGTGTCAGTTTTGATGACGTAGCATGCTAACATTACATGCTGACGTGTTAAAATTGAATTTTTTTCTCACAAAAAACACTAAGTTTTCATTTTTTTGGATTTTGACACTAAGTTTAATTTTTTCTTTCAACTTTAACACTATGCATTTTTGTTCCAAATCAAACATCATTTTTTCCAATGTTGTTCAATGTTGACAATTTTCTATTTGAAACCGTATAAATATTTTTTAATACATTTAAACCGTATAAATATGTTTTTTTTTTCATTTAAAAACCATAGTTTTGTATAAATACATTTTTTTACACTCAAACCATATTTTTATATATAAATATGTATTAGTTATATAAAAATTTTATTTTATATTAAATATTCAACTTTAAAATATGTTTGGAGGTTTGGAGGCGTGTAGTTAACTCAGATATCAAGTTTGCAACCCATCAAATTTTTACATCTTATTAGAAGTTTATGGTTAGTTTGATTCTTATGATATAACTAATGCTTTGAATATAAGAAAAAAAACATCTTGTATTTAAATAAAAATGTGGTTTTTAAACGAAAAAAATATGTTTATACGGTTTAAAATGTAATAAAAAAATATATTTATACGGTTTCAAATGGAAAATAGACAAAATTGAAAAAAATTTGATAAATGATGTTCAATTGGAACAAAAAAAACATAATGTCAAAATTGAAATAAAAAATTAAACTTAGTGTCAAAATCGAAAAAAAAGTAAAAACTTAGTGTTTTTTGTGGAAAAAAAATCAATTTTGACACATCAGCATATCATGTCAGCATGCCACGTCATCAAAACTAACACGTCATCATGTCACGTCAGCATGTAACCTGGTTAACCGGTCAAGTGGTCATAATTGTAACAAATTGGAAAACGCAGTGTCAAAATTGACATAAAAAAAAACACGGTGTCAAAATCGAATTTCTATGTAAAAATAGTGTTTTTGTGCCATTTACCCCAAAAACATCTCAGAATTGCAATTTATCTGATTTTTGGGTTCTATTCCTTTCATGGTGATTGATTACTATCAGATTTCTAATCCTATACCCTGAAATGTGTCTAACTCTAAGATTTTTGTGATGCATGGCAAGCAATTTTGAAGTAATTTTGATTTGTGGGTTCTACATTTTGATTCTTTAGGGGTGTTTGGTAGTGGGTGTCGTTCGATTCTTATGGTTATTCAATGGCTATATGGGGTGTGGAAGGAGGTAGAAAGGGATGATAGGGTGAAACTATGATTAGTAAGAAATTTTAATGTGAATGAAGGGTTTCCGATGATGGTTGGGTTGACAAGGGGTCGTGGGTGGCATCGGTGGCGGAGAAGGACGGAACAGGGGAAGGAGAAGAACCGGTGACACTGAGGAAAATGAGAAAAGGTCTGTTGTTGAATGAGGGTGTATGTAATAATTAAATGGGTTTTTAAAACAAATATAAGGGAAATAAAAAATTAAAAAATGATTTGTAGTATCAGTAAAGGTAATTTGGTCGTTTAAACTTGATTAGGGACTAACGACGTAAAAATATCAAAACATAGGGATGTTCCGAATTAAAAATAAAAGTTAAGGACCAAACACGTAAATTAACCCAAAGCACGGGGGACCATCCATGTAATTTACTCTTCATTAATTATAGCGAGACAAATCATTAAAAGTCTTCAAGGTATAGTAAATAGACAAAACTTCAAAAATGGTCCCTGTGCTTTTCAAAAATATCAAGTTTAGTCCTTAAGTTCAAAAAACCTCACAGATGGTCCTTGTGGTTTCAAAACTTTTAACATTTGGTCCTTCCGGCTAACTCCGTTACCATTTAACCGTTAAGTCAGGGGCATTTTTGTCATTTCACTACACAGGGACCATTTATGAGGTTTTCAAATACTTTTTTTTTAAATAAATAAATAAATATATAATATTTAATATACAAGGGGTCCCACCCCACCCCATCTCTCTCTCTCTCTCTCTCTCTCTCTCTCTCTCTCTCCAGATCTTCTAGTTTCCATCTCTATGTTTCACTGTTGTTCCCAATAGCCACCCCTCAAAGCTCTCCATCTCCATCAATAATGAAGAAAAACCAGGAAATGATCTCAATGCCAACGATGACACTCATATTGTATCTCTTTTTTTCTGGCCATACTAACACAACGATCCGAACGAGCTACTGGGTTAAATCGCCTCCTCCATCTCTCTCTCTCTCTCTCTCTCTCTCTCTCTCCGACGAGCCTCGTCTTTATCTATCTTTCCCAGCCTTCGTCTATCTCCATATTTCTCCCTCGCACCTGAAGTCCAACGCAGACCAATGGTTTGGCGAATTAGGGAAACCCCAATCGATTTGGTGGCGACGTTCTATAGAAGACGAACGGCAGCGACGAGTTAGGTTTTTCAGATCCGGCGAGTTAGAATTTCCAGACCAACAATTTAGGGCTGCTATCTTCCCCATAAAACCCTAGCTCCAAAATCTTCATCGGCAACCCGAGCCCCGATATGTTGAACAATGACCTTAGCTTTGATTTCAGGTTTGATAGCTTGATTTCATATGTGGTTTTGACCAATGATTTCAGGTACGATTATTCTTGTAGATACACTCCTAACATTCGATAGTTTGTAGCTCCATATGCTTGTTCGCATAACGTCTCCAAAGCACTCACCATTCCTAACTGGATCGATCCCACATGAAAAGATTTAGAAGCAAAGAAACAAAAAGAAAGTAGTCAAATATTTCGAAAAAGGGTAAAAATCTTTGGGTGTTTAATTACCAAAAGGCCGAAGTTGAAGCCGACGATGACACTGGTGCCAATGGAGATGGCGGCGAGCTCAAGATCGCCGAGATGGTCGGCGAAGGCTTGGGTGATCATAAACATGGAGTAGGAGGCTATGCGGCTGAAAATGGCGGGGCCGACTATGTGCCATAGCTTTTTGGATTCAATCAAGAACCGATGTCGGAATGAGAGATCGAGATCTTGGTCTGGAGATTGTACCCTTTCATGTATCTGACAACGAAAGAGAGAAGCCTCGCTGCTTCCTTTGATCGATTTGGAGAGAGAAAGAGAGAGAAAGAGATGGGGTGGGACCCCTTCCATATTAAATATTATTTATTTATTTATTTAAAAAAAAAGTAATTAAAAACCTCATAAATGGTCCCTATGTAGTGAAATGACAAAAATGCCCCTGACTTAACGGCTAAATGGTAACGGAGTTAGCCGGAAGGACCAATGTTAAAAGTTTTGAAACCACAGGGATGACCCGTGAGGTTTTTTGAACTTAGGGACTAAACTTGATATTTTTAAATACCACAGGGACCATTTTTGAAGTTTTGTCTAGTAAATATGATATTGTGTATTAATGAAAGCAAACCATTGATATATATATATATATATATATATATATATATATATATATATATATATATATATATATATATATATATAGGGAAAAGTGAATATACCCTTAAGGGTATATAAGCTTAGGTACCCAAACTCACTATACTACGTCGTTTTGTATCATATAATACGTTCTAATTATTCAATGTTCTTATAATTTAATTTCTAACTTGATTTACTTCCAAGATTTTTATAATTTACACATTTATCTTTCTCTTACATAATTTCCATTTTCAACTACAATATATATAGCCTAGTAGGTGTTTGGCAAAAAGATGTGATGCAAGAGAATGATAATAGTGAAATATCGAATATCTTGAAAGAAAATCAAGTTATGGTTGTAGTTTAACAATATTATAATGAATATCTTGAAAGAAAATCAAGTTATGGGCTACAAGATAACCAATTAGGAAGCGGATGACGTCTTCTCGTGAAAGGCAGCATTATTTGTCGCGGATGAGGGCGGTAGGTGTGGGAGTTGACGATGGACGGTTGTTGATATTGGGCATGGTGATGTTGGGATTGTTATCGAAGTTTTTGAGCCATTCTCCATTGTACAGAATTGAGAAGCATTTTCTCATCCCTCGCATCCTATGGATAGCAGGTATGTTGATTTTGGTTTCACAGGAAACCCTAAATATCCTACTACGATTTGTAGGTTTCATTGATTCCCTTATTTCCGTTCTGCATAGTGTCACCCTCTTCCACCTCCTACTGCATTCTATTTCGATTTTGCTTAAAAAAATTTGAAATCAAAGGTAATTTTTTTTTGGAATTGATGGCCTTCAGGTGTGTTCATCGTGCCTTGCATGGAAGTCGATGCTTAATCATAATTTTGTAGTGTATCAGAATCTGTGAAACATACAGGGAATTACTGCTACTTGTGGTCGGATTTACTGCGAGGTTAGATCTCGATTTTTCAATATCTCTAACATTTTCGGTTTATCTATTCTTTATCCGTTTCTGCGCTTCTTTTTCGCATTTGATCGAGTTGGCGTTTGTATTAGATTCTCCTATTGTTAGTGAAGGATTACGATTTTGCATCTCTGAAATTGGAAATTGATTGTTCTTGTTGCGAGCAATTTCAATATTTCATAATATCTGATTCTATAATAATCGAAAAGATAGGGGTTCCATGGACGGAGGAAGAACACAAGTTGTTTCTGTTTGATTACTTTTTTTTTTGGGTTTCAATAGTTTAGATTACACATGTACTGTATACAAATTGGTGTGATAGTAGTAGCAAGTGTGCAACAAAACTATGCTACAACAAACTTTGTGATATGCAAGATTTCATTGGATCTAATATGTATTTGTTTTTCATGTTTTCTGATTTTTCAAGCATTTCCTAGGGATTTTCCATACTTGAGTTCAGCTCCTCCTGTAACTCCAAGCATAAGATTGTTTTTATAAAATCTAATTTGTTTAGAATGGATTAGCAGTATATTCTATTAGAATATGTATAGTTGTATTAAAATGTATAAGTTATTATTCTGTAAGAATATGTATGAATATACATTCAGGTGTCCATGAGTAAACAACGATCCTTAAGAATATGTTTTTATTTTATTTTTAACCATTCTCAATTGAGAAATAAAATATCCTCCTACCATTTGTTCCTATTTTTCCTCCTTACCATATCAAATGTTGACAAATGGATTAAATGATTATTAATTTCATTAAATGTCTAATTAAATGTGACACATGTCAACATTTGATATGATATGAGGAAAAGTAGGAACAAATGGTAGGAAGATATTTAATTTCTCTTCTTAGTTTTATTCTTTTAGTATAGATGTAATTGTTAACCATTATTATTTGTATTCTTTATTAATGAATGTCATTTATATATGTTCATAGTTGTATTTGTTAATAATGAATGTAATTATTGATTTTAAGCTATTAAAAATCTTTTCATATAAAATTTGTGTTCATTAAAAATTATTAATCTTGATAATATATGTTTATAGTATTCTGTCAGAATTTAATGGTTTTTTCAAGATAGTGATAAACACATTCTTTCAGAATGTTCGAATTAAAATATTTATTATCAACAAAATCTTATTTTTAAAATTTAGAGAATTAATTATTTCCTAAAATCTGTAATTTTCCTTTTTTAATTTTATATTAATTGACTAAAATACCATTAGAATGAAAATAAATAGGAATTTTCAATTATCTTTAATGTAATAATATGTATTAATCACTTTTTTAAAATAAGTGTATATATATATATATATATATATATATATATATATATATATATATATATATATATATATATATATATATATATATATATATATATATATATATATAATTTCTCCTACATGAGTCTACTCTAAAACAAAAGAAAGAAAACCACAAATGATGACGACGATTGCGTACCTACACAGCGGCGATGAGTGGGTGAGAAGAGGTGAGAGGGAGGGTGAAATAGAGCAGGTTTGTTGCTCGCCATTGGCGTTACTTCTCCTGTGGAAAGCGACGATTTACTCTTCCCTATATTTCACCGTTTTTTTAAACGTTTTGAAGATGCTTTCGTTTATCTGTTTTGATCTTTGATGTTATATTTTTCTATTTTCTATAACTTCTTTCCTCCTACATTTTCTCATATATTATCTCCTAAAAGCACAGTACCGTTGTTTATTTCTTTACTTAAATCACATTTATGAAGGTAATTATATACTAGTTTTTAGATTAATAATTACAACTTACAGATTAATAATGGATCAATTATCTTTCTTTTGTTAGCTTTTTGAAATTCCTCAGGGGCCGATGCCCGATAATAGTATATGCCTAAAGCAAATAAGGTATTTATAATTTTTTTTTGCTATTAGAATGGAAAAAAACGGAGGCCCCTACTGACCCCAACTTCTTTGTTCACTTTAGTGATGAAATTTCTACAAATATCCAGTTGTATGTGATATCGGCATGTTTCTACGATTGAGTTTCATTGCAGAGGAAATTGCTCAATTCACTAGTATAAAACTGGCATTTGGCCACGCAAAAATCCTATCATCATAGACATTTATGCCGTTTTTTTATTCAACGTGTAAGCAAATCTCGCATCATTAAACATAAGTTATGGTGACGTTTAATTGTGGTGACTAACCTATAAAAACTGTCACTACAGGTAAAAGCTGTCACCATTGGGTACTAATTTTTGTTTTAATCATTTTTTGATAACCGTCACCATAAACTACTTTCCCTCACAAGTTGTTTTGTTTTCATAGATACCGTTGACTTTTAGTGACACATAATAGATTAACGCATGACCATAAACAACATTTAGTCACACTTTTTTCATTTGGCATGGCTATTGTTGACTTTTAATGCCACATGATATATTAAACCATGACCATAAATTACTATTAGTCACATGTTTTATCGTTTTTCAGGACTATTGTTGATATTTAATGGCACATAATATATTAAAACGTCACCATAAACTACTATTAATAACATGTTTTTTTCATTTGTCATGCTATTATTGACTTTTAGTGACACGTAATATATTAAAACGTAGGCATAAACAACTATTAGTAACATGTTTTTCAATTTTCCCTTTTTTTACCAATGTTTTAAAACCAGAGTTTTTTTGTAAAAAGTAAAATTTCAATATTTTTTTCTTCTTTACCAAAACCTAAATACTTTTATTTCAAAAGGGAAAATTGAAAATTTTAATATATTACGTTTTAAAACATTGGTAAAAAGGGAAAATTGAAATTTTTTAGATAAACTGGAAAAATTAAACAGCCTCCAAATATTGGTTCCACTTTTCAACACAGTCACCATATAACACTTATAGTGACATGTTTTTTTCTTTTTGTTATTATTATTTTTTACATTTAGATACACATAAAAATTAAAATGTGACTATAAAATACTTTTAGTTACATGTCTTATTTTTTTTTTAATTTAATAATAAAATACTTACAGTCATTTATTGTTATTCTTTTATGTTAAAAATCATTAATTTTAGACATACATATTAAATTTAACTGTTATTGTAACATCCATAAAATTTCAGTAAAATTTTAAACTTCACAAAATAATCTTTTTTCTATAGAAGTGTTTATAAAAACGTGGTTTCCAAAACATTTATTAAAAATCGGAATCTTTTACACATAGTTTTCAAAACATTCACATTATCAGAATTTCCCAGAAACCATAAGTCCAAAACGCGAGGATGTGTATGGTCACGCCTTCGCCTTGTCAAAACATCTGAAGCACGTGAAACAATAAACTGAAATCGTAAGCACAAAACTTAGTGAGTTCCCCCCAAGTACCAACACACTAACAGTAGCACATATACAAATAACAACATGCATACAGAGTCTTCAGCATAACTGGACCGCTTCATTAGGCCTTCAGCTTATCTGGACCACCCTCAGAGCCTTCAACATTTCAAGACCGCCTCACCGGCCTTCAGCCTGTCTGGGCCACTCTCAGAACCTTCAACATGTCTGGTCCACCTCGTTGGGCTTCAGCCTGTCTGGACCATTCTCCAGGCCTTCAGCCTGACTGGT